ACTAAGCAGAAGGATTTAAGTGTATAAGTCTGTCTGGGGACCAATCAAGCCATCGAGTTTTCGTCGCAATACCCGGACGGACACTATAAGCGGAGTCGTTATAACATGATTCTAGTGTATTACAAATTATTTAAAATAGCTAAAAAATAGCACATTTCTTTTATGAAATAGCCAACATAACAGGCTCCTGCAAAATTGAGTGGTTTCTAGTTTAAGGTCATGCCAAATAGCCAAATCTGGCCAGAAAATAGCCAAGTTGGCAACACTGGCTACGTGGCGGCATGTCCCAACTAAACAGAACCCAGCAGATATCAAGAGGTTGTGACATAGAGGAAATTAGCGATTCAATCTGGTTTACTGGACCATCCTTTTTGAAGAATGGAGAAGAGACCTGGCCCAAAAATTCACATTTCGTTCTTGATGAAAAGGTCCACTGTTGGCTGAAGCCAGTTTTATTTGTTTAATTTGAATTGTTAAAATAAGTCTTATTGAATTGAATTTGAAGTTTACTGTAAGTTAGTTTAGGGCGAAGGCGGGAGCGCAATAAAGCTTTCATTCGCTCTCTGCGAGTTCGCTCCGTCTTCGCCAACCTTCGGTAAGCTAGGCTTAAGTATGATTGTGGAGAATAGAGCATTCGTTGAAATTGAGTTTGATCGAGCGCACGCCACCCAAGTTTCGGAAAATTAAATAATTAGAAAAACGCTTCTAATTTTTCAGATCAGTTAGGAGTTCTAGGTGATTTTAATATACCTGGAACTACGTGGTCCTCGGATGATAATTCCAATGCTTTACAACCCATAGGCCAAAATATATTTATTGACGGTCTACTTGACAAACCTCTGTGTCAGGTAAACCATGTTCGAAATTCTTTAGATCGCTTACTTGATTTGTGCCTGGTGTCAAATCCTGAAAGTGTTGTTCTTTCTAGAGCAACTCCACTTACGCTGCTTGAAGATCCATATCACCCTGCTTTCGAGGTAACTATCGACACTGGTATAACAGTTTAAAATAATGCTATAAAGCCAGCCAAGCGAATTCATTGTTTTCGCAGGGCTAACTTTCTGAGACTTAATCAACTTATATCTGGTAATGACTTGTCCGATCTCTACTCCTGCCATAATATTGAAGAAGCCATTACAATTTTTTATTCGGCAATCAAATCGTTTTTTAGCTCGTGTGTTCCGCTATATATCCCATCAACATCAATAAACCACCTTGGTTTAACAAGGAGTTGTCACACCTGAGGAATTTAAAGTCCTGACTTTATAAAAATATAAGGTTTCAGGTTGTCAGTCTGTTTTTGGAAAATACATAAGAGGTCGGTCAAACTTTACCGTGCTTAACGCTCAGTGTTACAAAAATTATTTAGTCCGTTGCAGGTCCCAGTTTTTACGGGATCCCAAACAGTTGTATAATTTTGTCAACACTAAGCGCAGATCATGTTCCTTTCCGCCTTCGCTTTCGTTTAAAAGGAGGCAGGCTAACACTGACCAGGAAATAGCCGATCTGTTTGCCCAATACTTTCAAACAACTTACTCCACAGTGTCTCATTCAAGCAGTGGCGTAGGGTGCCTTGTCGGGGCCCCGTATAAAAAATTTTTTGGAGGCCCTTATATGGAGGTAAAGATTTTTCACAAAAGAAAACAAGAAAGGAAGCTAGCTTCGGCAAACCGAAGCTTTTATACCCTTGCAGTCATCAAATATGTCGAAAAAAAATACATAACGGCTAAACAACATCGAAGCTAAGACGATTTTTCTATTCATTTTCTATATTTTGGACTTTTGTTCACATGACGGCTATATGATATACTCGTTCGATTTTGATGAAATTTAATTCGGTATTTAAGAGTCGTTAGAAAACTCTATATTCCAAAAATCATACTTGTCTGATGAAAAACAACGATGTTATAATTTTATTTTCGTTGTTTCAATATAGATTTTTTGATCTTTCCTATGGCAGCTATAAGATATAGTTGTCCGATTTTTATGAAACTTTTTTCTCAATGTAAGAGTTTTTAAAAACTTGATATTCAAAAAATCATGCTCGTGGGATAAAAAACAACGATGTTACCAATTTATTTCCATTAATTCTATATATATTTTTCGATCGCTCCTATGGCAGCTATATGATAGAGTTATCCCATTTTGATCAAATTTAATCCGAAATTCAATAACAGTTAGAAAACACCATCTTGAAGAAATACGGTCGATCTGATCAAAAACAACGGTCTGAGAATTTTTTATTTCATTCTCTCGTATGGGAGCTATCCGATATAGTCGGTCGATCCGGCTCGTTCCGACTTACATACTGCGTACAATAACTACACACATTTTGGGAAAGTTTCAGCAAGATAGCTTTAAAACTGAGAGAATAGTTTGAAGAGAAACCGACAGGAGGACAGACGTATTCTGATTCTACTCGTGATGCTGATCAAGAATATATATACTTTATGGGGTCTGAGGTGTCTCCTTCACTGCGTTGCAAACTTCTGACTGAAATTATAATACCCTGTGCGGACTCTGCCGAATGCACTGATTTTAATGTTCGATTTCGAGAATACAAAAAGGGAGATATGTATGTATGTACATGTGTAAGCTTCGTGTATAAAAGAGCGTAAGGCGAATTCAAAACATAAGCATATGATTACAGTGTGGGGTAATTAAATATATCAAGTTGGCAAGAATTCAAAATATAAGCAAATTAAACAAAGTGATTTACAAACATAATACTCATTAAGTGAAGATTAGCATTGACTGTTGATGTCATCGAACATTCTCCGCCCGTTGAATGATCCAAGGAGTATTCAAGCACCAATTTGCTCAGGCAGGGGCGCTATCTTACAGATGGGTCTTCGAATGTTTCCGTTTTTCACTTTGATCTCGGCCACTCGTACTCGTCCATCAGCTCCGACATGCGTGTTGGTGATGCGACCAAGAATCCATTCCTGGGGAGGTGTATTATCCTCGTGAACAATCACCATTTGGCCAATCTGAATGTTGGCGTGGGGTTTGAGCCATTTGAAGCGCTCCTGAAGCGTGTGTAAATAATCACGCCTCCATAGCTCCCAGAACTGCTGCTTCAAGAACGTTACGCGCTGCCACCGCGTAAGATAAGATGGTCTGCTATCGTCAATTGAAGGCTCCGGTACGGACATCAAAGACGACCCAATCAGCAAGTGCGCTGGGCTAAGCGCCTCTCCATCGTTTGGGTCTTCGGAAAGGGGTGCCATTGGTCTTGAATTTAGGATTGCCTCCGACTCGATTGCAATCGTTTGAAGCTCCTCGTACGTTAGTCCAGTGTTGCCCAAGTTCTTCATCATAAGGCTCTTCATGGACTTCACTGCGGCCTCCCACAAGCCGCCAAAGTGGGGAGCACGCGGAGGGATGAACTTGAACTCGAATCCCACGATGCTGCTGAACTTCTGCAACTTCGATGTGTTGGCTTCGTCGAACAGCTGCTGCTTAAAGTCCTCGAGCTGCGATCGTGCACCGACGAAATTAGTTGCATTGTCACAATAAATCCGTAGTGGGATGCCTCTGCGACTGACGAAGCGCTTTAAACAGAGAATGAAATTATTAGTGGATAGATCGGAAATGAGTTCTATGTGGATTGCTTTTGAAGAAAAGCATATAAACACCGCCATGTATGTTTTATATGGCACCTTGCTTCGAATGCGGTATGATGTGGAAAATGGTCCACATAGGTCGACTCCAGTGACAAAAAAGGTCGTTGTGAATGAAACCGATCAACTGGAAGTGATCCCATCATTTGTTCCATTAAACGAGGCTTGTAATGGTAACAGTGAGTGCAGCGTCGTACAATCTTTCGAACGATTTCTCGGGCGTTTACAATCCAAGCCTGAAGTCGCAGGATTCCAATGAGAGCCTTTGGTCCTGCGTGCATGTGCTGCTGGTGGAGATATTCAACGAATTTCAATGTGAAGGAATGATTTTTTGGTAGAAGAACAGGAAATTTGGCATCGAGTGAAATGGGCGCCTTGGCTAAGCGGCCTCCTACACGTAATAGTGTTATCGAACCGTTTGATCCGTCCGTCGCTGCTAGGAACGGATTTAGCTTTTGAAATTCGGGCTTCAAAATCTTGTTTCCCTTCAGCTGCTGGATTTCGTTGAAAAAGGCCTTCTGCTGAATTTGTGCTACGATGTGCTTGAACGCGTATTGCAATTCAGTTGCTGGTGTATGAATTACATCGACTACGTTCACCTTCCTGTTGACCTTCATTCTATTGAAGACGCGCAACACAAAAGCCATGACTCGCAAAATGCGCCGATAGGATGAGAATTTGTTGATAACTTCATCGAATACATTTTCCTTGCTGCCGCTTTCGGTACATGTGAGGACTGTTGCTTTTCGCAGCTCCAACTCTTCATTGGTGTCCTGAGAATTTGGTACTGGTTGAGGCCATACAGATGAGTCTTGACGTAAGAAGCCTGGTCCACGAAACCATATAGTTTCCATAAGCTCGGACGCTGCGCAGCCTCTTGACACTATGTCCGCGGGATTGTCCTTGCCCGGAACGTGGCTCCAAGTGATGTTCGACGTGGTTGATTGCATCTCAGAAATCCGGTTGGCGACGAAACAGTTTAGCCTGGACGAGTGCATGGTAAGCCACTGTAGAACGATTCTTGAATCTGTCCAAAAGAAAATATTATCAATATATGTTTCGAATTTATGCTTAATCTTGGCCCATGTTTGACACAATAAATATGCGGCGCACAATTCTAGCCGCGGCAATGAAACTGCTTTTATTGGGGCCACCTTAGACTTGGCGATGATTAGCGTTGATTTGAACTCTCCGTTTATGTATGTTCGTAGATATAGGCAACAGCCATAAGCTCGCTGCGATGCATCTGAAAAACCGTGTATTTCCGATAGATTTTTTGGTGACGAGTTAATGAATCTTGGAACTTCGATGGTTTGAAGATTGTGCAAATCTTGTTCTATTCGCTGCCACTGAGATTGAAGCTCAGGGGGAAGTGGATCATCCCAGTTTAGACGATGCATCCACAACTCTTGGACCAAAATTTTGCACCGAATAACGACTGGTGATACGAGCCCTAGCAAATCGTACAGGTGAGCGACAAGTGAAACGATGCTCCGCTTGGTGACGACAGAGATTGTAGGTAGAGTATACCTGAAACAAAACACATCTAGTTTTGGTTGCCACGACATGCCTAAAGTCTTCGTTACATCTTTGGTATCAACCTTGAATTGAAACTCTGCTCCGTTGCCTTCTATTTTGCTTGTGTTCCACTTTGCAAGCTCTAATCCAGCCTTAGAAAGTATGCTGGTGACCTCTGTAGCCTTGAGATGAAGCTCTTCGACACTGTCTGCTCCAGTAAGGAGGTCATCGACGTACATATCTTCTTGAAGTACGGATGCTCCGATGGGAAACTGATTGGAGAAGTTATCCGCAATATATTTCAAGCTCCTGATTGCTAGAAATGGTGCACAGGACATGCCGTACGTGACAGTGTTGAGCTGAAACAATTCTAAAGGCGCAGCTGAGGATTCTCTCCAGAGAACAAGTTGATACATGCGATCGTCTGGTGATACTTCAAACTGGCGATACATCTTGCAGATATCAGCTACGAGTGCATGACGATGTAAGCGAAAGGCAAGAAGTGTCAGGATAAGATTCTGCTGGATGCTTGGGCCAATCATCAACAACTCATTCAGAGACAGGTTCGACGTTGTTTTGCACGATGCATCAAACACAACACGCAGCTTGGTAGTTGTGCTTTCAGATCTAAGGACTCCATGATGCGGGATTACATAATGTGTCTTCTGAGAGTCGAAATTAGATGCCAACTGCATGTGATTCAAATCTATGTATTCCCTCATGAATTGAACGTACAGCTCCTTTAACAACGGGTTGCGGCTCAACATACGCTCATTTTGCAAAAACCGGGATTTGGCAATTTCAAAAGATTTACCTAACATGTGAGGATTCTCCTTAAATGGCAAGCAAACTTGGACCCCACCAGATGTGAGAAACCTTGTGTTTGCCGCAAAATGCCGTTCGCATTCCTGCTCTTCTACGATGAAACCTTGATCGTGCGAATCAAATTCCTCGATTAGCCAAAACCTTTCTAATGCACCTTGCAGCTCCGTAGAACTTGCCATGTTGCATGTTACGACTTGAGATTGCGGAATATCAGAAACCTTTCCGCCAACGATCCAACCAAGTGCAGTATTGACCAGGCAAGGAAGGCCTGGACCCAAAGAAATTTTGCCATTTGAAAGCAAATCAAAAAACTCTTGTGTGCTGATGAGTAGGTCAATTCGGTGAGGCATGTAGAAGCCTGGATCTGCAAGGTCAATCTCTGAGGGTATATTCCATTGTGAAGTATCAACGAATCGCTCTGGCTGATTAAGCGACATTGTCTTGGCTACAGCGAATTGTAAATGCCATTCATTTACAGACAATCGTGATCGAATAGTTGTAGAGACCGAGAATCTCATCTGCGTTCTGACATCGCCTATGCCAGAAATGTCATATTCTGTCTCTCGAATCTGAGCTGAAGGAGCTTGGCCAACTCTTCAGAGATGAAATTTATTTCAGAGCCTGAGTCAAGCAAAGCTCTGGCTGGCTGAAATATTCCGAACTTATCCCTAATCAATACTATTGCTGTAGGAATTAAAGCGCGCCTCGAATGACGCGAAAGCATGGAAACAGCATGTGTGGGCTCCCGCTGCTGCTGAGATGTGTTGGAAACAATTTGTGTTGGTTGCTCTGGATGAGCAGATCTATGCAGAATAGTATGATGTAAGCCTTGACAAACGCGGCATCGAGATCTATTTGGACATCTGCTCGCCAAATGGCCGGTGCGCAAAAAATTTATGCACAGAGCGGATTGCTTAACGAAATTCAATTTATCCTGCCAGTCTAGTAAACCAAATGAAGGGCACTGAGTGAGAGAGTGATCAGAAGCAGAACATTTTTTACAACCACCCTGTGCCGCAACAAAGGCTCTTCTATTCTGCGTGGGCCTTTCCTTTGGCTTCTCATCAGATGTTCGTTTAACGTTGCTCTCCAAAAATTGACAATGACGGCTTAAACTGCGATAACAATCCTCCCAAGTAGGCAACACCTCGTATTCTTGACACCGATCGTACGACAATTTCGAATCTGCATCAATTTTAGATAAAACAAGATGAATTAATATTGCGTTCATTACATCTGCTTCTGTTCCTAACGACAACAACGATTCACGCAGCGCGGAGACGGTATCCAAGTACAGCGAAGAGCTGCGGGATCAGATCTCTTCATAATTTGAATGTCGAATAAGCTAGATATGTGCTCTATGAAAATCAAAACCTTTTTATCGTAGCGCTCCTTTAACTGCTTTAACGCCTTTGGATAATTGATTTCGGACACTTGAAAGGGGGCCACAACACTCAGCGCGGGGCCAGACAAACAGCTAAGCAAGTAGTTAAATTTGTCAACAGCTGATATAGAAGCGTCATCATGTACCATGCTAGTAAATGCAGTAATAAACTTCATGTAATCACCATACTTCCCGTCGAACTTAGGCAGCTTCAACGAAGGCAAACGATTATGGTGCCCAGATCCGCAATTTGCCGATGAATTAAAGAAACTTGCATCCTCTGGCCGGTCCTTCTTTGACGCCCCAATCCGAGTGATGATAATTGCCTTGGTTTCTATGAATACGTCCTCTAATTCTTGCCGGCCGTCGTCAGCCGCATCCAGCCGTTCGATCTGTGATTGAATTTGAAGAATTTGTTTAAAATACGATTCCAAAATTTGTGACTGGCATTCAAGAGCAGCAAGGTCGTTCTGCCGTTCGATTCGAGCTTTGAGATTAACTATATTTCGCTGAATTGTATTCCTTTGTTGTCTTAAAGACACGAGTTGAGAATCAGTCATTTTTGTAAAGAGTTATTTAGCGAAAACTAAGTGTAGAGCAATTATTGAGTGAAGCAATACCTTATCCAAGTATGTTGGCAATGCCCTTTGGTTCAGAGGGAGAAAACAAAACACTCCGATGATTGAGAAAATAACTCAATTTTTGGCTTATTTATTTGCAAACCAGCTGCACAAGTATGTATGTGTATATATGGGCAATGCCCTTTGGTTCAAAGTGGAATGACAAAACCGCGGTTGCATTTGCGAGTCTAGCTTACGGTTTTTCGTCCTCTTTGTGCCGCTGTTCTTTGGTCTCCAAATCTGTACTTGCGACGGTTATGATGCGCATACCCTGTATGCAGGTATCCACGACGATCCAGTGGCGATGATTCCGGTGATCCAACGATGCTTCCGGAGATCCAACGATGATGCCAAACGCACTGCCACTAATCCGATGAGCTGCCGCTGCTGCCAAAATACACCAAGTATTGGCGTTGCTGGAATCTATTTCTCCGCCGAATGCAGAGGGAATAATTTTCAGTGAATTATGGTGGGACTTGCCGAATGCAGAGTCCTGTCACGGTCGCCAAAATGTGCGGACTCTGCCGAATGCAGAGTTATTAGAAAGGAATAAAACGTTCGACTTGTTTCGATCTCTAATATGCACTGATTTTAATGTTCGATTTCGAGAATACAAAAAGGGAGATATGTATGTATGTACATGTGTAAGCTTCGTGTATAAAAGAGCGTAAGGCGAATTCAAAACATAAGCATATGATTACAGTGTGGGGTAATTAAATATATCAAGTTGGCAAGAATTCAAAATATAAGCAAATTAAACAAAGTGATTTATAAACATAATACTAATTAAGTGAAGATTAGCATTGACTGTTGATGTCATCGAACATACCCTTTTGCTCTGCAAGGGTATAAAAAATATTGTGAGAATAAATATTTATTTATCACATTATTTACCCATTTTACAAATAAAAATCAAATTTTAAATATTCACTTTTACACACTTTGGGGGCCCCCGTGGCCCGGGGGCCCCGTATAATTGATACGGCATATACGGCGGTAGCTACGCCCCTGCATTCAAGTGAGCAATATTTATACACCATACCTAAGTCGAAGTAAATATTCCGTCCCTCTTTAAACGAAAGCTCCTTTCTTGTGGATCTTCAACGTGTTACACCAGTTTACTCCCCAGGTCCTGACGGGACCTGGGTGTGTTCTTAAACACTGTACTAATGCATTGTGTAAGCCCCTTCTCAAGCTGTTTACCCTATCCCTACAAACCTGTCAGTTTCCCCTTGTCTGGAAGGAGTAATTTGTTATTCCCCTTCATAAAAAGGGAAACAAGTCGGATGCTAGTAATTATAGAGGTATTTCTAAATTGTCAGCAATTCCAAAGCTTTTTGAGCGAGTAATAACTCCTCACTTGCAGCACCTTTGTGGATCAGCAATATCTCCATGTCAACACGGATTTATGAAGCGCAGGTCTACTACGACAAATCTTTTAGAGCTCACATCCTTCGTGATAGATGGCTTTAAAAATAATTTTCAAACTGATGTCATTTACACAGACTTCAGTAAAGCATTTGACTCTGTAAATCACTTCCTATTGATTCGTAAACTTGACATGATAGGGTTTCCAGCAGATCTTTTAAGTTGGATCTTTAATTATCTCAGTGGCCGAACGCAAAGAGTCCTTTTCAAAAATTCCTTAAGTAGTATCCTCAGAGTTACCTCTGGTGTACCACAAGGAAGCCATCTGGGACCATTACTCTTTACCTTGTTTATCAATGATCTTCCATCGATCATTGCGACGATGTAAAACTGTGTCTGCAGTATAATGATTACTCCCGTCACTCACACCTTCAAGCAGACCTAAACAATTTTCAAAACTGGTGTCACGACAATTTACTGAAATTAAACAGCTCTAAAAGCAAGCTGATGACGTTTTGTCGGGTCAATCCGCATAATGTCACCTATTCGCTAAGTGGTAATGCCTTGGAAAGAACAACGCTTGTTGACGATCTTGGCGTCGAACTTTTCATATTTCGAACATGGTTAATAAAGCTAGGGGAATGCTTGGATTTATTAAACGATGGTCGAAGGAATTTGAGGATCCTTACGTTACCAAGAGTTTATTTATTTCGTTGGTCCGACCAATCCTTGAGTATGGGGCACCCGTATGGAGTCCCCAATACGGAGTTCACGCTGATCGTATAGAATCAGTTCAAAAAAGCTTTGCCTTACGCCGCCTAAACTGGAATGCAAAGCTATTCCTACCCTCCTATCCTAATAGATTGCTCCTTCTTAACTTGCCCTCCCTTACTAATCGTAGAACGATGCTTGGTACTATATTTACACGTGGTGAAATTGACAGTGCTTACTTGTTAAGAAGACTAAATTTCTCGGTTGCAAGTAGATTTATTAGAAATTATGCTCCTTTAGTTTTAAATCTTTGTAGATCTAATTATGACGTGCATGAGCCTTTCAGGGTACTTTGTTCGGACTATTATAGGCTGTATTCTATGTATCGTCTTCTGACTGTCTGGAGCTCCTAAAACGATTAATACTAACATTTCTGGCACGAAATTAGATCGTTAAATTTAAAATTAAAATAAAATGTAACTTTTCTTTCCTTGTCTTTCGGTTTTTCATTTTTTTTCTTTTAAAATCGCGTCAAAATTATCGCGAATCGTGCCGTACGATACACGGCGGTCTCCCCTCGGTCGGTTGGGCGGGTAGTAGGCCGTAGGACTACGTGCAAATAAAAAAAAAAAAAAAAAAAAAATAAAATAGTGGGGCACTGGCGACGACGGTAAAGGTGGTCATTGGCGAGACGGAGTATAAATTTAATATTTACTTGGGTTTCGAGTGGGTTTTAGTTATATAACAAAGCGATCAAAATGAAGGGTAAAAATAACGCAGCTCCGTTCGCGTCGCGATGCAGTGCAGAATCAGACTAAGAGAGACACCGCCAACAGCAGCGATAGCTCCCTTTGTCCGCCGCAGGTATTGGGCACCGTGGGGCCAGATCGTGAATCTGAACAGTGAGTGTGTGTGTGTATGGGTTTTTTTTAATTTCACTAATGTTCTAGAATAAACTGCAGTGTAATTATGCTAATATTAACTTTGGGATGAGCCCATGCGGTACGACCGCGAGGTATTGCTTCGCAGGGGCAAAACCCAAAGTTAGGCATCTCTTCTTATGCGCTCAAGTCTACGCAATTCCTTTGTTATTTGGCCTGCAAAGGCCGTTATCAGCGCCCAGTTTGACTCGCTCGACAGCATGGTTGCGATCAGGGTGTCCGGAGAGAGGGCTCCACCAACTTGTACGCCGACTTCATGCCTTGCCACTGCAAATCTGTTGCAAACGAAGAAGGCATGTTCGGCGTCCTCTTCGATGCCTGCTCCACACAGCGTGCAGTGGCTGACGGTTTCGTGCCCAAACCTTTTAAGGTAGCCGCGGAAGCACCCATGCCCGCTGAAGATCTGCGACAGG